GCATTTTGGGGCAATAAAATAGGAATTCAGGATGATTTTCTGATTTACGTGTGCTATAGTCTACGTCATCTGCATGAATTCGGGCAATCGACTTTGAATTGCCTAAAATTTCGCTGAATAGTCATCTATTCGCCATGACCGTTCCTCATTTTTTGGCGTTTTAAGGGTCATAAAACAAGAATTCAGGATGATTTTTAGATTTTCGTGTGCTATAGTCCACGCCATCTGCATGAATTCGAGCGACTAGCTACGAATCGCCTAAAATTTTATGGGCCCATAAAAATCGACCTAATGAAAATTGTCATAGCTTCACTATGACTGTTCCTCATTTTTTGGCGTTTTAAGGCCATAAAACATGATTTTAAGACGATTTTCAATTTTTTGCATGTTATAGTCCACGCCATCTGCATAAACTCAAGCGACCAGCTTCGTATCGCCTAAAATTTTCCGGGCCCATCACAAACAACCTAATGAACAATATTGATCGCTTTGCCATGATTGTTCCTAGTTTTTGGTGTTTTAGAGCTAGAAAACAGGAATTCAGGACGATTAGATTTTCGTGTGTTATAGTCCACGCCATCTGCATGTACTCGGGCGACCGGCTCTGAATCGCCTAAAATTTTGCAGGCCCATCAGAAACAACCTAATGAATAATATTCATCGCTTCACCATGTCCGTTTAGCATTTTAGAGCCATAAAATGGGAATTCATGATGATTTCTAGTGTTCGTGTGCTATAGTCCATGCCATCTATAGCTTCGGCATAATCGTTTCTCATTTTTTGCCATTTAAGAGCAAAAAAATGGAATTACGACGGATTTTCAACTTTTTGTGTGATATAGTCCATGCTATTTGCATGAATCCGATCTACCAAATCCGAATCGCCTAAAATTTTGCATGCCCGTCAAAAATGACCAAATGAATAATAGTCACGGTTTCGGCATGACCGTTCCTCTTTATGGCATTTTAGGGCCAAAAAACTGAAATGCGACCGATTTTCAAATTTTGGTGTGCTATAGTCAATGCCATCTGTATGAATTTGGGCTACCAGATCCGAATCTTCTAAAATTTTGTAGGTCTGCAAAAAAATGACTTAACGAATAATAGTCATGGCTTCGGCATGACCGTTCCTTATTTTTTTGGCATTTAGGACCAAAAAACTGGAATTCGGGTAGATTTCAAAATTTTTGTGTGTTATTCCATCTGCATGAATTCGAGCTATCGGATCCGAATCGTTTTTTGGCATTTTAGGGCCAAAAAACTGGAATTCGTGCTCATTTCAAAATTTCCATATGTTATAGTTCACACTATGTGCAAGAATCCGGGGTACCAGATTCGAATCGCCAAAATTTTTGCAGGGCCATCAAAATTGACCTAATGAACAATAGTCATGGCTTCGGCATGGTCGTTCCTCATTTTTGGCATGTTAGGGACAAAAAATAGAACTCGGGTCGATTTTTAAATTTTCATGTGTTATAGTCCACTCTACCTGCATGAATTCGGGCTATTAGATCCAAATAGTCTAAAATTTTGCAGGGCCATCAAAAATGACAAATGAACAATAGTCATAGCTTCGACATGACCATTCCTTTTTTGGCATTTTAGGGCCAAAAAATTGGAATTCGGGCTGATTTTCATATTTTCGTGTGTTATATAGTTTACGCCATCTGCGTGAATCCAGTCTACTAGATCCGAATCGCCTAAAATTTTGAGGGCCCATAAAAAATGACCTAACGAAAAATAGTCATCAATTCGGCATTATCGTTCCTCGTTTTTTGGCATTTTAGGGCGAAGAAACAAGAATCAGGTTGGTTTCAAAAAATATTTGTATGCTATAGTCCACGCCATATCCATAAATCTAGGCTACTGGATCCGAATCGCCAAAAAATTTGCGGGCAATCAAAAAATGACCTAATGAACAATAACCACGGTTTTGGCACGATCGTTCCTCTTTTTTGGCATTTTAGGGCTAAAAACTAAAATTAGGGCTGATTTCCAAGTTATCGTATGCTATAGTCCACGCTATCTGCATGAATCTGGGGCATCGGATCCGAATTGCCTAAAATTTTCGGGGCAATGAAAAAATGGCCTGATCAACAATAGTTATCGATTCGTCATGACCGTTCCTCATTTTATGGCATTTACAGTCATAAAACAAGAATTCAGCACGATTCCTAGATTTTTGTGTGCATTAGGATTACGTTCCTCATTTTGAATTGTATTAAATCTTGTTTTATGGCCCAAATGCCAAAAAAAGAGGAATAATCATGATAAAATAATGACTATTGTTTATTAGGTTGTTTCAGATTGGTCCACAAAATTTTAGGCGATTCGGAGCTTGTTGCCCGAATTCATGAAGATGGCATGGATTAACACCCGAAAATCAAAAATCGTTTTGAATTTCTATTTTATGACCCTAAAATGCCAAAAAATAAGGAACAGTAATGGTGAAACAATGACTATTGTTCATTATTTCGTTTCTGATGGGACCACAAAATTTTAGGCGATACGGAGCCCGTCGCCCACACGAAAAATTGGAATCCTGAATTCCTATTTTATTGCCCTAAAATGCAAAAAGAAAAGAGAATAATCATGCAAATTCATGAAGATGGCGTGAACATTTAGCACACAAAAAATTAAAAATCATCTATAACCCCTGCTTTAGGGCCTAAAATGCCATAATGGGATAGTCATGGCTAAGCAATGACAACTGTTCACTAGGTCGTTTCTGATGCGTCCACAAAATGTTAAGTGATTCGGATTTCGTCGTCCGAATTCATGAAAATGGTATGGACATTAGAACATGAAAAATCGAAAATCTTCCTGAATTCCTGTTTTATGGCCCTAAAACGCCAAAAACAAGAAATAGGCATGGCGAAGCATTGACTCTTGTTTATTAAGTCGTTTCTGATTGGGCCACAAAATTTTAAGCGATTTAGAGCTTGTTGCCTGAATTCATAAGATGGCACGGACATTAGCACACGAAAAATAAAAAATTGTCCTGAATTTCTGATTTATGGCCTAAAATGCCAAAAAAGAGAAACAATCATAGTGAAGCGATGACTATTGTTCATTAGGTCGTTCCTGATGGGCCCACAAAATTTTAGGCGATTTAGATCCCGTCGTCGAATTCATGAAGCTGACATGGACATTAGCACACAAAAAATTGGAAATCATCCTCATTTCTTATTTTATGGCCCTAATACGCAAAAAAAAAAAAAAAAAACGGNTGCGCAAACAGCATAAATTCCCCAGTTCCTGGTGTAGTTGTTGTACAAATGTACTTTGCCAAATCTAACACGAGGATGCCGCTGTCTAAAAAAAAAAAAAAAAAAACGGTCATGGATAAGCCATAACTATTTTTCATTAAATTCTTTTTTATGGGCCCATAAAATTTTAGGTGATTCGGAGCCCGTCGCCCGATATCATAAAGATGGCGTGGACAGCGCATGAAAAATGGAAAATTGTTTTGAGTTCCTGTTTTATGGCCCTAAAATGCAAAAATACAAGGAACAATCATAGCGAAATAATGACTATTGTTCATTAGCTCGTTTCTAATGGTCCCACAAAATTTTAGGTGATTCATAGCTCGTTGCCCGAACTCACGAAGATGCCGTGGACCTAACAAACGAAAAATCGAAAAGCGTCCTAAATTCCTGTTTAATGGCCCTAAAGTGACAAAAAACAAGGAACAATCAGTGTAAATTGATGATTGTTCATTAGGTCGTTTTAGATGGGTCCACAAAAATTTTAGGCGATTCGGAGCCCGCTCCTTAATTCATGAAGATGTCATGGAGCACACGAAAAATTGGAAATCATTCTGAATACCTGTTTTATGGCCATAAACGCTAAAAAACGAGAAACTTAGGTTATTTCTAATGGGCGGAGCACGTCGCCTGAATTCATAAAAATGGCATGAAAATTAGCAAATAAAAAATTAAAAATCGTCCTCAATTCCTATTTTATTGGCCCTATAGCGCCAAAAAATGAGGAACGGCCATGGCGAAGCAATGACTATTATTCACTAGGGCGTTTCTGATAGGCACACAAAATTTTAGATGATTCAGAGTCCGTCGCCTAAATTCATAAAGATTGCATGGACATTAGCACAAAAAAAAAAATGGAAATCGTCCTAAATCCTTGTTTATGACCCTTAGACGCCAAAGAACGATGAACGTTCATGACAAAGCCATGACTATTGTTCATTAGGTTGTTTCTGATTGGCCCAAAAAATTAGGCGATATAGAGTCCGTCGCCCGAATTCATGAAGATGGCGTGGACAAGCCCATGAAAAATTGAAAATTGTCGTGAATTCTTTTTTATGACCTTAAAATGCCAATAACGAGGTACTTTCATGGCAAAGTAATGAGAATTTTTCATTAGGTCGTTTCTGATGGGTCCACAAAATTTTATGCGACTCGGAGCCCGTCAGCGGAATTCATGAAGATGAATAGACATTATCACACGAAAAAAATCGGAAATCGTCCTGAATTCTATTTTTATGGCCCTAAAACGCCAAAAAATAAGGAACGATCATGACAAAGCAATAACAATTGTTCATTAGGTCGTATCTGATTGGCGCACAAAATTTTAGGCGATTCGGAGCCCGTCACTAACATTCATTAAGATGACATGGACATTAGCACACGAAAAAATAAAAATCATGCTGAATTACTGTTTTATGGCCTTAAAATGCTAAAAAACGAGGAACAACCATGGTTAAGCTAGGACTATTGTTCATGAGGTTTCTGATGGGCCCACAAATATTAGATGATTCGAAGTTCGTCTCCAGAATTCACAAAGATGGCGCGGACACTAGCCCAGAATTCACAAAGATGGCGTAGACACTAGCCTACAAAAAAGTGAAAATCGTCCTGGATTCCTATTTTATGGCCCTAAAACGCCAAAACTCACCTTGGCTGGTCTTCACTAATAGCCTCAAAACAACTTATAACAATATGACAACATAAGGTTAACATGTCATAGAGACAATAACCAGGGGACGAAATGCAATAGGGTAGTAGAATTTCAACTTGTACAAATTACAGTCTAGAGGCATAGACTTCACAGTACATAGATATATATATTTATCAAACCTGTTCAACTACACAATGCATAAACGTAAAAAAAAAAAATGAATTCCAAAAAATTACATGATAGACAACAAGAAAGGCAACATCCTTGTACACATTACGATTCCCAATCTGTTTCAGCATCACACAGTTCACAATATCACTCCAATTATTGTATGCTTCTTTCAGGCTAAAGTAGGAAGGCATGCTCACAAATCCAACAATAAGTCTCAAGAAGCAGCAGCAGGTGCAGCGGATGGGTTAAAAGCTTTTTGATCTCCGCAGGTGAGTACTTCGTGAGGCCCTGCTTCCTCGCGACCAACACCCATCAAGTCAAGATAATACTGGAAATGGGAGATGATGTTGTTCATGCCGTCAACATCACCTTGACCACAAACACTATCACCGTAGAGAATGTTCATGGTCGTGCCAAAACCAGGAAGTCGTTTAGACAAAGTATCATTCTTCGTGGGTTTCCAATTCCCAACAAAGGCATCATGAGCTGAAGGCTGACCCTTTTTCATTGGGTTCATCCACCTCCAAATTGCAGCCTGGAAAGCCATGGTAGCATTTTGTTCAATGTATTCAGGATGATCTAACAGATTTAGCTTGAGGGCTTCACCAATAGCTCCATAATTGTAGTTCCTAGTAGAATTACCAATATAAACAAATTCTTAATACCTATCAAATATATAGTCAAGCATGTAAGCAGCTCAGGCATCAAGAATGACATTAGTAGGTGCATTTACTTGAATTAGTAATTGGATTAGAACTCCTGCGATCCTTTTCAAAACAGATCAAGTAGAATAAATGCCTTTTTTCTTTTCTTTCTCCATTTAGTACGATATGTATTGTTCGGTGAATTAAGTCTCAAATCACAAAACTTTCTGTAAACCAACAAGATATTTCTGTAATCTAAAAAAGTAATCTCATGCCAAATTTAGTAAGTGATAAACCAACAAAGGAGTGTATTCAATTGACTCAAATAATGGCTTAATGGAAAATATCAATTTATAACTGTTGTCAAAAGATTAGTAAAAGAACATGTACCAGTAGATAGGCAAGGCACCACGACCATAATATTGAGCTCCAGGAGTGCATGGGTAGGTTAATTTGAAGTATTCATCACAGTAATCTTGGCTCGGACTCATTTCCTTGTTATAGCACAGACCCCAAGCCAATGGTCCACCAGTGGCGACTCCATAACCACCTGTTAACATAGAGTTGTAAGCTAGTAGAGAGAGAATACAATTGAACCTAAGAGAGATCACGGCAAAATAAGCTACAGGCTAAATCTGAAGTGGTCAAAGAAACTCCAACTACATTTGAGCATGAATCTCTCCAGAGGTTAAGTAGGATGACAAAGTGCTTCAAAAACTATTCAACATTGCCATCATAAACAAATTAAGTCCCGAAATCTTTTGTTTTGAGGCTATACCTGTATCGGTTAATGAAATAACACAAGACAATCATCTCAATTGGAGAAATCATGTCAAACTTTTGACGAACATAAATAGTGACTAAGAATAACGTCTGAAAAGGCCATTTGTTCCACAAAACAAAAATTTATTTTGTACTTATCAGGTTATGCATACATACTACTGCACAAAAGATACAGACATACAGATCATGCTACAAGTTGAGCATGCACAGGTACAAACAGATAGATAACAAGAATAGGTTAAGTCATCCATAGATGGTAAAAGAGTCAATAATTCTTCAAACAAAACCTACACAAGTCACTTTTCACCATAAAAAGTCTATCTCAAATATAATATACACCGTTCTAGGAAGGTTTATTAGTTGGAGCACCAGCGGTTTTGATTTCCCATTTCAGTTATTTCACACAGAATTATTTGGACTAGTGTGACTAAAACTGCTCAGTTTTCCTTAGTAATTAGCTCAACATAAGCTGATTGCATCAGATCCCCAATGCCCCAATCAAAATCCTGCACACTAAAGATCCATTATAAATCTCAACTTCAAGCAATATTCAGTTACCTACAAGCTATATTTGTTGAGCTGAGTGTCTATCGGAAACAACCTCTCTGCCCCATCGTGGTAGGGGTAAGGTATGCGTACACACTAACCTCCCCAGACCCCACTTGTGAGATTTTATTAGGTCGTCGTCGTCGTTGTACAAGCTATATTTGTGAGAGGTAAAATTGACCACCAATTTCAATCATTTTTTTGAGAGGTACAACTAATAAAATTAAGTTCTAGTCATGGACACATCAACATTGTATTCTCTAATCATGAGCTTCTTTAATCTCTTAGCTAATCTGGAATTATTTGAATCCCAATATTTTAAACAGATTGCACAAATATTGGGAAAATGACACTGTATAGCCGTTCTCAAAATAATAATCGAAAAAATGTATATTTTTCATATATTTTTTGAATATACATACATGTTGTATATTATATACAAAAATTATACAAATTTTATACACTTTTTCGGCTACCAAATGTAAATAATTTCTGATGCGGGCTAAAAGTGATAATATACCTACAATATTTATGAAGCACATAGTGATCCAAGAGGCTGGTAAACTTACAAGTAGTTTTGCTACCAACATGGCCAAAGAAAGCAGCAATTTCCTTCATCTGCATTCTCTTACCACCAGTGGTACCAAATCCAAGAGGCTGGTAAAGTGCTGCAGCATTGATGAAAGAGCTGTAATCCCAAAACCCAACAGCATGAGCCACAGGTGTGTTCCTCTTTGCGAAAAGCAGCTCAAATTGGTCTACGTCCAAATAATCAGTTATTGTCAAATTACAACAGAATTTTGACAATTTGTTACACTCCCAATCCTTCACACACATCTTCGTCCCCTTCACCATTTTCACTATTGTTGGTCGTTTCTTAAATGACTCATTCTCATCTCCATTCACACAACCAATAATCGAGATTGAAATTAGTAGCAACAAACATAAAATCTTCATTGTCAAGATCCCCATTATTCTTTTCTGCAAAGAGAGGAAAGATGAAATCTTTGAGAGCTGCTACACAAGAATAAAAGAAAAATTTGCTTCGAGATTTAAAGACAAATACAATATAGTGAAGTGAAAAGACAACTTACTGAGAATCAAGAATTGATTTTTGAGAAATGGGTATTGATTCAATTTCAATTTTGTGTGAATTATTTTTTCTTTGGGTACAAAACAATGCAAGGTAGATGGAGTATCTTTTTCAAGAAAAGGGACAATAAATGTGAGAAAATGGAAATGAACGGTGGAAATTGGTCTGATTTGGGTGGAAGATGGGAATGGACGGTGGAGATTGATGGGTCGAAGATGTCGGGGGAAACAGGCTGGATTTGGAATCAAGCAAAGCAGTGGAAGGTGAGGGCTGACCCCACTTGAGCTAATGTCACTCCACCGACAGCTTACCATTTTCCTTTTTTTTTTCCAGCTAACCACTATTTTAGCTCTAGTTTTTTTGGTCAATTTTTGTGCTGAAAAAAAAAGAGGAAAAAGAAAGACGGTAGGCTTGTTAAGAGGGTCCGAGGCAGGGGTGTTCAAAATCGAACCGAAACCAAAATCAAAATCCGAACCGTAAAAGTTACTTAATGGTTTATTGATATCGGACTAACGGTTTAATGGATGAGGAATGGATTGAAATTTTTTTATTAACGACATATCGATTTGGGAGCGGATTTTTCAATTTTCTTAACGGATAATCTGTTAACCCGTTAAATATATATATATATATATATATATAAAATTTATTTTATCCATATATTACTATGTATATTAAATAATAAAAAGGAATTTTTTCTTAACTATACCATATATTAAACCTTATTACCAAATATGTACATACTATGTAAATTACCCGCCCAGTCCACAGTTTTCCTACAATTTATGTACCATTTGTTTAATACACGCTTAATTGGTCAAAATCTTCCATAATTAACGCGCTAAAAATCAGAAAAAAATCTTGCGATTGATTGAGTCTACATTAAATTCAAGTTTTGAAACAGAAAGGAGATTTCTGTTCTTCATCTTCATCTGTTCTTCCATATATTTTCCACCATTGATAGCCATTAAAAAGCTTGAAAGCTTTGAATTCAAATTTGAGTTTTCAAAAATCATTATTTGTTTGGATTGGGTGTTGTTGAAAATAGTCGGGAATATGGTTTGGAGTTTATATCTCAATTTTGAGGAGTTTTGGTGAAGATTAGACTTGGTTTTGACTGAATTTCAGATTGAAACTCGAAGAAGAAGAAGACATATTGCAGAAATTGTAGATAAATTGTAGTTAAATTGTAGATTATTTGTATTCTGATTGTAGATGCTTTATTTTCTGTTTTCATAAATAAAAAACTGCTAAAACTTCTACAAATCTTTTGAAAAAATACAATTATGTCAAAAATCACAATTATGCTACAATTGGATGGGAATTGGGATATAAAAATTTAATGTACCCAGTTTGTAGATATTTTGTAGATAAATTGTAGATTATTTGTATTCTAATTGTAGGTGCTTTGTTTTCTGTTTTCACACATCAAAAACGATTAAAACTTCTACAAATCTTCTGAAAAAACGCAATTATGTCAAAAATCCCAATTATGCTACAATTGAATGAAAATTTGTATATTAAAATTTAATGTACCCAGTTTGTAGATATTTTGTAGATTTTCAACATAGATTGTAGTTTAATTGTATTATAAATGTAGTAATTATGTAGATACCCTTACAAATAATACTACTTTATACATACTTAAAATTGATTTGTAGTATATTTGTAGATGAAGAGAAAAATTTTGTAGTCAACATGTGAGAAGATGTATTTAGTTCAAATTCTGATCAATCCAACTGTAACTACAATTTATCTACAATTTCTGCAATATGTCTTCTTCTTCTTCTTCTTCTTCTTCTTCTTCTTCTTCTTCTTCGAGTTTCAATCTACAATTCAGCCAAAACCAAGTCTAAATCTTCACCAAAACCCCTCAAAATTGAGATTTAAACTCCAAAACATATTCCCAATTATTTACAATAACACCCAATCAAAACAAATAATGATTTTTGAAAACCCAAATTTGAATTCAAAGATTCAAAGCTTTTTAATGGCTATCAATTGTGGAATTATTGCTCTTTTATCTCTTTGAAGGTTTGTCTTCTTCATTGAGAAAATTTAAAGCTGAAGGTAAATGTGTGTATGAACTTTGAAGATTTATCTTCAATATTTGGTGAATTTAAATGGAGAATAATGAAGAACGTGAGTAGCTTTTGTTCTGTAAAGAACCAAAAAGGCAGTAGCTCTATGTCGTAAAACCATAAGAATATGATTTTGAATCCGAAAAGAAATAGGAAAGCGTGAGCCCTACTATTTCGTACGTAACAAAATTGCAATTTCTATCTCTGTATTTTTTGAGAAGAAGAAGGAATGGAGAAGAAGAAGAAAAGGGAGGGGAAAAACTGCGTAGGTCTTAGAAATTAGGGGGATAGAAAAACGTGAGATATATGTACACCTTTAATTAAGGAGTAAAAACTGCCCATTAATTAGACCCTTAATTAAGTATGGTATAAGATTGGTAATTTGGTATACTAAGTGTAATTAAATCAAACCTTAAACATTGAGGGTAATAAGGTTTCCTATGTGGCATAAGAAGGTAAAAATTCCTAATAAAAATTCCTTCCACACTTCCACTTCCGGTACTGGACCTCTATTAGACATTTAGACTTTATACTTATGGTGTCTCTATGATTTGCTTTATGACTACTTTGGACAGTCCTTAGTTAAAAGCCGCTCAAATGCTTTATATCCTTCTTGGGGTTTAGTCACATGTTACTCTCAAGTTTCATGCTAATTAACACTTTGTTGTATTTTCACTTAAGACACAAAACTAACGTTATTTTACTGTAATTATCTTCTTAGAACATTCACAAGGTCCTACACCCTTCGTTAACAGTTATATCATTTAGGTTGCAGTTGATTAGTATGCTTGTTCATTCGATATCTGTGTAACATTATACTTCGTTAACTAGAACATTCACAAGGTTCTACACAACTTTTATGAATTGTGAACAAGACCAATAAACTAGCTAGCTGAAATGTAACACTATACTTGGTGTTTGCAGTGGCCCTGCTGCTCAAACATGTTGCTGCTGCTGGAACTCGTGCAGATCTAAAATGCTATCTCTGTGTGTCTTAGATTTTTACTTCGGTTTATTACACAATTTATTAATTAAAAAGGCACAATCTAAACCGATAATCGCCCGTTAACCGCCCGATAATAGCTAAACCGATACCAATCCATCCGATATCTTATCGGATGGCTAGCGGATTAATACATTTACAAGCCGATAACCGATAAGCTAAACCGTTAAAAGTAAATAACCGCCCGATCCGCCCGATAAACAGCCCTAGTCCGAGTGGCCCAAGATATTCGCAATGTTGGATATAAGGTTTGGGTCGTGGGTCGCCCATGTGGACTGACCTGACCCGTTTTAAAAAGAGATAAAACCTAAGGAGGTTACACGTAGGTTTTTACTCCTAAAAACTACCCCACGTTTTCTTTTGAGAGACATGAGAACGTGGAGTAGGAGTTATCATCGGTAGTTCTCCCCATCTCCTCTTCTCTATATACTTCTCTTCAGTACAGAAATTCGTGTGTGCAAAAAATTAAAGAAAGGAAGAACACAGTGAACTATAGGCATTTAGTTTGTGAACAAAAACTCTCTTTCCTGGAGATTCAGAATACGATTTGGGGCAATTCTTTTGGTGGTGAGTTCAACGGTTTTCGCTGCATCAATAAGGTACACAATTCGTTGTTCTCGCCCCGCGATTATTAAGTAACAATGGTATCAGAGCCAGCGTTATTTCTTGTTTCTTTAAACATGGAATAAATTAAATAGATTTGTAAACTTTTTACGGTGCCGCAAAATTTTGGTTTCAATTTGCGTAAAAGGAATTGGTTTATTAAATAAACCGTGAATAAGAGCGTTGTAAGTCAATATATGACCCTTCAATCCATGGTTTGCCAATGGTCTGCTCTATTTTGAGTTTAGTGCAATGAAGCATGTGTGCGGAACTTCTTATTCACACATCCCAAACAGATTATCTCATCCTCCACTAATTTATGATTGATTGTTGTTCTGTTTCTCTGAGGATCAGACCTGTCAAATGGGTCGGGTCGACCTACGAACCGACCCACATAACCCATTAAAATTGATCCCTTAACCGGCCCATGACCCACGAAATCCTAACCGGACCAATTCATTAATTTAAGGGGCCTGGGCCGGGCTATAATATTTTGACCCACTGAACCGGACCGGACCGGATCGGAACCGGTTGCTGATCCACAGGTCAACCGGCCCGGACCAGCTCACACACATATATTCAGACAAGTGGTAAAAAATTGAATCCAAACATTGAAGAAAGAATATAGTACCAGACACTATGAGGCGTCTTGTCGAAATAGTCGAATTCCATAGTTTAGACTATTAGTTATAGAAATAGTCGAATTTCAGATGTTTCTCAAGCCTTAATGTTATTAAAGTATGATTTTTCTTTCATTTTTATTCTAACCGGCTTCAAGGACATGTAGTAATTTCAAGTTCGTATATATGTATAAAGTTTAAATTTTTTATCATTTATTAGTTTTTAACTTTTTTTAATTAAATTGTATTCGGCCATTAGGGCCTGGATTAAGGGATTACGGGTTACGGGTGCGGGTCGGATCAATATGTTTTGAGTAATGGGTCAAATCCGGATCGGTCCCTATAAGAAAGTGAACCGGCCCGGCCCGGTTTAGGACCCATGGGTCAAGAGTCAACGGGTTCGGGTCCGGGTCGACCCATTTAACAGGTCTACTGAGGATGTAAAAGTTGGACTCTTAAATCTTTTCTTTATTTGCATTTATCAATGTATAATACGTGATGACATTAGGCAACACACTGGTTCTCTTATCTCACTAAGAAAAGTTTGTTTGCTTCATGTAATTTTTGTTTAATTACTGTGTTGCATTATCATTTTAGATCATGCTGTTGTGACAAAACCAGAAGATACCTTTGTTATATTTTTATCTGGTAAAGTATAATTTTATTGATAATGGAAAGGTGTTATGGTATTATTTAGCCATAGACCATTATGTAATTCACTGGTCTCATCTCCTTTGCTTTTGTCCTCAACAAGTGCTTTTGTATTTTCCCGGTAGCAATTGTGGCAGTGATCCATACAATAAGAATAGTACTAAAGTGATTCTA